TTAGGGAATCCCTTTGATAAAAGATAAAGCGTGTTTCAAAAAATCCCAAGCTTAACGACGTTTTATTGGCTGAAACGTTATGTAATTTAGTGTTGAGGGATTATGTGGTTTGTTTTGAGTTACTCAAAATGTAAAAGTCTAAGTGGTAGGAGCTCTCATAAAAAGCATCCAGTTTATCAAAAAGTGTATCAAAAGGAAAAGAGTGTGTCTATGAGGTCGATCATCATAAAAATTATAACATATCCGTTGTTGTACTTACATTAATGTACTAATTTATACTAAAAAAAAAAATCATTCGACTTTAACCATTCTCCCATCACCTTTTCTCAAAATCAATTTCCTTTTATTATTAATAGAGTTGAACTGAAATGCTGCGCTTTGTTCCCGATTATTAATAACAAGATGCAAGAAATTGCGTTAGGCTAATTAATTATAGTAAAAAGCCTCCTGACTTTTTTGATTATACTTGTTTATGTTTGATATTAAAGGATTTATTAAAGGTGGAAAAAGGAAAAGCATGACGTATTTGATGACAACCTTATTGCATGGTTTCTATGGAAATCATCTCCCAAAAATATCAACATTCCACGCGAATCAAGATATCTCTTAACGTTTGCGGCTTTTTTTTTTCCTCACATAACAAACTGCGGCACGCATATGTTGACCCGCCCCGTTTTTCATCTGGTACCTTTTTACATTCATTCATCCTTTCAAATCGCGAAATCCAATTGAGAAAAAGAAAAAAAAAAAAAAAAAAAAGAAAATGTACGCCAAGTGGCTTCCAAAACTCTCAAACTATTTCTATTACCGGTTTGTTACAAGATGATCATGAAGGAAAACGTGTAATCCTTTTGGTTTGTATTTACTCACAACGAACATCATATCATTTCTTATCCACCCGATGTCTTTTAAAGTAAATAAAGTAATCAAAAACATTCGTTCCACCACTTGATAAAGTTAAAAAATTTTTTTTTTTTTTTGCTTAATCGGTTGAATCGCGAAACTAATAAAGAATTGAGCATATATACGCACAACACATACACACGCCCCTTCCTTCTTTTTCCATCTCCCCTGTTTGCACACTTCGTGTTTATCTTTTTTTGGTAAGGATTCGTCGAGGGTATAAGAAATGGATTCGATATGTGGTTAAACGCTTTTTTTTCAATGACAAAGCTTGGGTGTTTAGCATTTATTAGCATTCATCCGAAATTGATGATCTGCTTTTTTTTTTTTTTTTATTTTGCACCACTTAATTTCGCGATCGGCAACAACAATTTTCAATCATTTGCGTTAATATCATTGGAGAACGATTCGCTTTAGATATTACCATAATTTCAAAGTTCATTTTGATTGACAAACAACAAAAAAAAAGTAAAAAAGTAAAAAAAAGGAAAAGACGAATCAAAAAAGCTTTTTTTTTTTTTTTTTTTTTAATCAGCAATATGCCCACTTCAAGCATCCAATAACTTTATAGAGTCACATTCAAGCTTTTTTTTTTTTTTTCCTAGTTTTCCCTTTTTCTTTTGTTTTTGCATCTCACAAGGATGCACACGTAATGTGTGGTGTGTGCGTCCCGTATTGATTATTATTGTTATTTATTTTGGACTTATTATTATTATTATTATTGTTATTATTATTATTTTATTTAATTTCATTTTGATTCATTAAAAAAAAAAAAAAAGGTAAAAAGAAAAAGAAAGAAAAGAATTTACATTTGGATTGGGTGTGTCAATGATACATAATTGGTTTAGTTTGAAATTTTTTTTTTCTTTATTTTTTTCTGCTTTGCTTTTCTTTGTGGGACGATCTCTTTTCAAGGAATATGGCGTTATCATACATCTTTTTCGCTTTTACTAACATGTGTTGTGTGCTTCATTTTAGATTGTCAAAGGAAAATAAAAAATTTTAAATTAATTAATTATTAATATAAATCTAGTTCGTAATAATAATAATCATAATCAAAAGGGCGTTCGTTATATTACATTAGTATCACAATCATCACATATGGTCTCACATACAAGGCATCAAAAAAAAAAAAAAAAAAAAAAAAAAAATCTCTCATGAAAGGCAAAAAAAAAAAAAAAAATTTAACATTATACATTTTTATTTATTTAATTTGTAAGTTTAATGAAATATGGTAATTGTTTACTTTCTGCAAGCATCACAAGCTTTTGGTTGATTCTTTTTCGAAATACCCATACACAGTGTATAAACAGTTACTCTTGGTAAGACAATTTAACTTCCCCCACTGCTTCACGTCTAAAACAAATAACCCCGCGTCCTATCATCCGCCACATAAACGCTTGATGCTTCAACAACACGAGGTTATGCCACGAGACTAGCTTTAAAGCTTGGGCTGATGAGATCTCCTTTTAGTAATTATATGTTAATTATACGTTTGAAAAAAATGCTAACCACATCTCGAGGGAAAAAATAAGATAAAAAGATTTCATTATTAATAATATTGTTTCGTAACCTTATTGTTGTTTCATCCTTCTTTCATCCCCCCCTAACTGTTCCATTCTAGATTCCTTGTTCTAATAGGGATTTATTTTTTTCCCTCCTTTTTTGTCCAGTTGTCTATCTGGTTTCCTGATACCTTTTGATGATTTCTTTTGTTTATTTTTAATTTTTCAAAAAAAAAATTTTTCCAAAAATATCCATTTCAAAAAAAGCCTCTTGATCATTCCAAGTAAAACTGGGAATTTTTGGAATGTATTACCTTGAATGTTCTCATAGAGTAACACAGTCAATTCCCACTTTTGAATGATGATTGACGCGCAACACCAAACAAAAGAAAAAAATTTAAGTATACCGAATATTCAAAATTTCCATATCCGAAACGAAAGTCGGTTTATCAATTTCCTTTAAACTTTTTTAAACCCGTCCGTTATCTGAAGAGAATGTGGTATTCAAATTTGGCAAATTGTCAGGATGAAGAACCGGTTTTTTTTTTTTTTTTTTTTTTTTTTTTTTTTTTTTTTTTGATGAAAGGTGGTCTTCTCCTTGTTCAGGTAAATCATATTATGAAGGTTTGTTTGATTGCATGTTCAAGTCATCACAACAAAAAAATAAAAATAACATCAAATAAAGAGACTGCGGTTTCCTTGTAACATTTCTTGACTCAAAGGAAACATCTCTTTTTATTTTGGTTTCGGGTATTGTTATTTACAGTTTTTCGGTTCTTATTCGGAATTCCTCATTCTTCAAACGGGAAAGAATTTATAAATAATGAAAATGAAAATAAAATAAAATAATAATAATAATAATAATAATAATAATTATTATTATTATTATTATCATAATCATAATCATAATAAGCATACATCTATATATATTTCAATCAAGTTTGATGACAGGTAATTATATGCCATTATTATTAATTAAAATTGTCATACGTACATATATGCACATCACTGTTAAACTATGAAACTACGTATCATGTTTGGTTTCAACTAAACCTTCTTTTTTTCTTTTTTGAAAGAAAACCTTAATGGACTTGATTGTTGACTTGTTAACATTCAAATCATGATGATGGAAAAAAGATATCTTGATGAATGGTGACACATGACACAAGGAAAAGTAAATAACATTGACAACCACAATCCATAACCAAAACAGACCTCGGCACAACATTCCATCATAAAGTACACACACACAACCAATATTATACACAAGACATAAACTTTTGTTTTACAAGAACATCATTTTTAAAAATAAAAATCGAAAAAAAAAAAAAAATTTAAAAAGTGATCAATATTCGGTATCCACCGGAATTAATTCGGTTTAAATCATCGTAATCCGAAAAAAAAAATTTTTTAATTTATGCTTTATTTTATCTAATTGATTTTATTATTTAGATTATTATTATTTGAATGGCGCTCCAAAATTAGGTTACTTTTTTGACAACCTATAATAAGCAGACAACTTCTTTTCATATGAATGAGAGTGTCTTTGGGATTGTCCTTTTTTTTTTCTTGTTTGTAATTGAAAAAATTACTATTTTGTTTTATCGTGTAGTGTCATTATGGGTGGGTTCTTTCGGTCGTGTGTAAATCTTGGCAAGAATCTTAACCTTGAAAATCTAAATAAAAAAAAAAAACTTTTTTCCTTTCAACGATCATATTTGACTTGATTGATGGATTATGACCCATGATAATACATACATACATGATAATAATAAAAAAGGGTAAAGTAAAATTCCAAGCCAAATCAATGCTAAAAAAAAAAAATTGTTTCCAAAAAGGATCTCATTGATTTCATTAACTCGACATTTAAAATTTCGCACGAGATGTCTTGTTGATGATTATCCCTTTTATATTTTATGCATGATGATTTTCTTTTCTTTTTTTTTTTAATTAAATTAAATTTCGGGGGAAACAGAGAAAAAGAAAAAACACATAATCATTACATACCTATCACAATCACAAACAAAACAACAACAACGAATAATAGACAGTATCAATCACTCAATGAATGAAAATTTGCCTGTGTGCTTTTTTCGCACATCCCCGGTGAACCATCAAGGGGGGTCCCATTCAGCGGAGGGGTGAAATCGGCTGCGCCTAATCTATATAACCTGATAGAATAAATATTTTTAACTAAGAAAACACGTTATCTTCCCGAAAAGGCAATGGAGCGATGTGGAGAAGTTGAGAGATAAATGAATGTGTGAGAAAAGTCGGGACAAAAGGAAAAAAAAAAAAGGAGTCACGTTTCCGTGTTTGAAGTTAATTTTAGTTTAATGTTCAAGAAAGGCTGAAACTTGGAAGATTCTTTCTTTTTTCAAAAAGTTCATTATAAATGATCCTTTTTTTGTGTGTGTGCGCTTAAACAGAATTTGTATTGTGTTGTAAAAAGAAAATTTAGAAGCACTCGGCCCTCTTTTTTTTTTTTTTATTATATTTGTATTTTATTTTGTTTATATTTTGTTGTTGATAAAGGTAACAATGAGAAGAGTAAATGGCCGCTTCAATTAGGTTAACTTTAGCAAAGACGCAATGAGTAGAGCACGAAAAAGTGCCATACAGCCAACTGGCATATGAACGTTGGTAAGCCCCGCGCCAAATTAATTAATAAAAAAACCTTCATCAAACAGACTCGGCCAAAAGGGCATTTATTCATGAGGTAAGGATCTCGACATCGCTGCGGGTGATACGATTGACCTGGTTGACTGGAAACGGAAATCCTAATAGGAATTGTTTGCTTTGGGTAGTTTTGGTGGTATTACATGTTTTTTTCCTTACATTGCATGGGCTGTATTACATAATAAGTGATGATGATGTTTAGGTTTAAGAGATGAATTAACTGTTTGGGGTTTGCGATATTACAATCATATCATGTGATTAATATTGTCATGTTGCCAAGCGCTTGAGTATTACGTTCTTATACATGTTCCATTTTTCTAATGATCATTGCAGAAATTAAATGACATCAAAAAAAAGTTGTGCTCTGTGTTAGCTAAAGATGTTACATTTGGTCAGATTAAAAAATTACATTAAAGTTTTTAATGTACCATGATTTATATGGTCTTAGGGACATCAAAACATTTTAAATTGTGGAATTCTTTTTTTTTAATTCCATGTTTGGTTAGAATTCAAGCACGATACCAGGATTCCAGGAAATAATCTCCTTATATAAAAATAAAGTTTCCCCTTCCGAAACAAATATTCTTTATAAATGAACTTATTGTTAACAAAATGATACTGTATAATGTGTATATGTATGTATTCGGAGTGCATTATTGCGTATCACTTTGTGTTTAATTATGTACTGTATTGTATATTATACCTTTTCTCTTGTGGAAAAAAAAAAGCTTTTTTATCAGGCCAATGAAATGTTAAATCTTTTTAATGCATGTCAAAGGTAAAAAAAAAGATCAATGACACTTTTTTTTTTTTTTTCTCGAAAAAAAGGAATCTTTTTACAATGATGATAAAATTTTGTATTCTTCGAAACCTTTGATAACGACGTATCGGATAAGTTGGTCTCAATTTTTCTTATTTTTTTCTTTTATTTATTTTTTTTTAATGCAGTAAAGAAACAAATGACCTTTGATAACACAACTCCGTACTTTCTTAAATCGGAAAAAAAAAAAAAATAGACTTTATTTTTCTTCAACGTATTGTTGTATTAGAGTGTGTGAAATACTGTACTTTTATCATTGGGAATATTATTATTATTATTATTGTTGTTGTTGTTGTTATTATTATTGTTGCTATTTTGCTTAAAAAATCCCTTTTTCCCCTAAACACGGACGATTTTTTTATCCTTTTGGTAATATTTTTTTTCATTTGCATTTATGTTTGTGTTGGTTTTTTTTTTTTTCTAAGTTATCTATCTTTACTTTATCCTATCTTATTCTACAGAAAAAAGAAATCTTTTTGTTTCATTGTTTATTATTTGTTTTTTTTTTTAATCATCAAAATAAATTAAAACAAATTGAACAATTTGTGGGGAAAAAAAAAAAAAATGTTTTTTTTATTCGATGAAATCTTTTTTTTTTTTTTCTCTTTGGAAAAATAATAAAAATAAAGAATATAATTTTAAACTATAAATCTTAATTTGAGAATAATAAATGATGATGATACTGGTAAAAATAAAAAGCGGGCTTTGTCACCCTTTTTTTTTTATTTGCATAACCACCTTTGCTCTCGTGATTAAATAAGCAAGTTGATCAAGTTGATTGAATTGATTGATTGTATGTCGCCTTTTTTTTTTTCCTTTGAAATATGCACGTTAACTATCACAAGTTTAAAATAAAGTTTTTGGTATTATTGAAAAAAAAAACTTTAAAACACTTCAATTTGACAATGTAAAAAGAAATTCATATTATCTCATTCTAATTTATCTAAACCTTTACCCGTGGTCAAAATCGATTCTTTACTAACGGATTGGATTGGTTGCTTTATAAATCTCTTTTTACTCTCCTCCTTTTTAATTTTTTTTTTTTTTTATGACAGAATCATTTAAAATAAGATAAAATAAACTAATATTTTGTGGGGAAAAAAAAAAAAAGATTATGATGTGATATTTTCCTGATTATGGTGTGATTTACAAATGTAATTTCAGAAAATCTCTAGTTCAACAAGGAAAAATGAACTATAAATAAAAAAAAAAAAAAATTTTTTTATTGATATTGTTTTAAAAAAAAAAAATTTGTTTATATATTCATTATGAAATCCGATTTACTTGTTTAAAAACGCGATTTTTCCTTAATGAAATCCATTTTTATGATTATTGTTAATAATGAATAAATAATTACTAATTGTGCCATTTGAAAGGATAAAAATAAATAGAAATCATGATATCTATCGAATTAAGAAATAATCTCTTAATTTGATCCCGGTTAGGGAAAAAAATTACTTTGATATGTTATAATCAACCAAAAAGAAAAAAAAAAAAAAAAAAAAAACGCCCCATATGTGCTTCTTTTTTCGGATTTGACGTTTAATAATATTAAGCTCCCGAGATTATGCGAAATCGCTGACATAATTCTAACCTTTCAATCTAAAATAAGACAAACCGCATTTACATTGGGTTCATTCATTTCATATGAATGAATACATATATACTTTTTCATACATTAAAGTATTAAACATTTAATGTATTCATGAATCTCGTTTCTCTTTTTTTTTTTTTTCGCCCCAACGCGTTAGATGTACATAATCATTTGCTAAAAAAAAAAAATATTCAAGTATCGATTCAAGTTTTTTTTACCTTTTTTTTTCTTTTTTTTTTTTTTTTCCAAATCAGTTACTAATTCATTGATTGTAAGTTATTGATATTAAAAAGAAAGGGATTTCTTTATCGTGTTTGTACACGTATAATTTTTTTTGTTTAATAATGTTTTATCGTGGAAGAAGTGATTTGCGATTTTCTTCTGTCAAAAAATGATCAGTTGACTACTATATAATATACATATAAATAAATAAATTAAATGATAATGATTTAAAGGCAAAAAAAGACAAATAGTTTTATTTGTCCGTCAACAAAGAAACGCGTTGACGCGCCAAAACTTTTTAAAGAATACCAAATTACCATGTATAATTTAAAGTTTAATGAATTGTTTGAAATGTAAATAATAAAAAAAAAAAATAATGTGCCGAATTCGTTGTTTGAAGGTATATATCACATCGATTCTTGGTTTAATCATGATGCGCATTTAAATTATATCCCAAAAATATATTTTATCAAAATATAAAATATTCTTATGTTAACATCAGTATTACTATATTTAATTAATTTATTGAAGGATTATATATACATACATATATTTGTACATATATGCATATTTTTTTTTTTTTTTTTTTTTTTTTTTTTTGAGAAAAAATGGTTAGCAATCTACTTGAGCAATCCGAAGGAAAAAACCATTCCATTTTATGAAAGATCCATGGTATCCCCACCGTGTCCTATACCAAATTCTTTACTTTCTAGTTCAATATGATAAGCATTATACTGTTCACCCCACTGCCCAACTTTAGTATCTCTAACAAAAGCATCGAATTTGGGTGTGCTTCCGCCTATAAATATGATTAATATCATTAGTCACGCTGTAAAAATGGAGAATTTTTAGAAATTTCTTAAGCGTACCATGCTCAGCCAGTTTAGCCAAGGTTACTACAACTCTCACGGCTGATCGACATAATTCATTGTTTTTATCGATCTCTGATTTAACAGCGTTATCCTTCATTCTGTATGTAAGCGTTCCTTTGAGTGGCTCCACAGCCTCATCAAGTCCTAAATGATGAATTTGTAAGTGTATGGTACATTCGAATAACCTAAACTTGAAACTTACTTTGCGTAACTGCCGTTGGTGCAACGCGCGCCAATCGAATCAACATTGTATGTGAAAGTATAGCAATATCATGTTGGTCCGATAATCCTTCAACAACGCGCGTGAGAAAGTTATATATTTCAAGCTTGTCGAGGCATGTTTCGAGTAAAGTATACATGCATTCATAAGCAGACTGTAAAAAAGTGAAAGTAACCCGTGTAAATAAATAAAGAAATAAATATACATGTATATAAAATTAATCTATATCAATAAAATAAAATTGGTACCTTTCTAATATCAAGACCATCATCTACTTTATGTTTGAATGGTCCCATTTCAACCATATGGATGAGATGCTCCTAAAAAAGTTTAATAAATGATGAGCTTCATTTTTTTGGACTTTACCAATATAAATGACAAGTAGGATACCTTTATAAGGGTTTCTTCATATAACAAAGGTAATAGTTGATTCAAAACATCACGGATCAAATATGGTTTGTTGTGAGCCGCTGAGTTCAAGGTTGACAACGAAAGTCTACGTACATTCTGAAAAGTAAATTTTAATAACAAATCATTCAATAAAAAACAAAACAAAACGTAAAAATAAGATTATTATATATTAACCAAATCATTGTCTTGTATTAATGACAAAAAATCCACAATTAAAGGTCGTAATAATTCATCATATCCTTGTCCTTGATTTATAAATGTAAATTTTATAGCCGTGACAACTGTACCACGAGTTTGAGCCGATATAGAACGTAAACGTTTCTTAAAAATATATATATATATATATTTATTAACGCTTTTTCTTTTTTAAAAACAATAAAGGTGGTAAGCTTAAATAATACCTGAAGTTCTGGTAAAAATTTATTGGGATTTGCTAACGTTAGTTTACCGAGACACTCGGCAACAACGCTACGAGTTCCTTCCTCTATATTTTCACCACTATCAAACAAAATGTTCCTATAAAAAATTGATAAAGATATTAATAACAGACAAATAATAAAAAATTTTACTAAATGGTAAAATTTTAAGTACCAAATGTCATCAGCAAATGGACCAAGAGCTTTGACACCTTCTTCATTTGAATAACGAGAAATAATCTACATGAAAATACATGGAGTTACGTTCAGATAAGTTTTAAATAATTAAATATTAATCAAAAAAAAAAATGATACATACTTCTTTAAGCCCATGTAATAATAGGTACCGCTTCTTTGGATCCTCTTTGATCTCCCTGATAACGATTGGCAAGTATTTACCAACATTACCAGCGCTTACATTGCCGAGCGCGAACGCAGCTGCTGATTTTATGTCCTCGGAAGGTACCGAAAACAAAGATAGTATAATAACATGTAGATTGGCGTGCTTACTTAAATCACTATTAAATAATTTTAAATAATTAGTTAGTTTCTCAAGATTTAGCAATTATTTAATTACATCTGAACTGATTCATACACTTTACGTCCGATTTCGCCTAAAGCTAACAAAGATAAATATTTCACTGAATCGGATTGTTTTTGATCCTAGAACGCAATAAAAAATAAAAAATAAAAATTTTGTAAAATTTCAAATTAAATTACTATATAATTATTTAAACTCTACAAACCGATATTTTCTTTGAAAAATCATTAACAGTTGATGAACAATTTCTTTGGGATATTACACAGAGTACGGCAATACATTGTGCAATTGTTGAATATGCCTAAGTTTTGAGAAGATTATTAAAAGATACACATGAAATATCGTTAACATAACGGCAGAGCTTTACCTGTTTTGAAAGTGTTAATTGACCTGGTTCCGCAACCAAAGCGGGTTGAATCAATCCGTTTAGTAATTTGTTAAAGTCGGCTTCATTAGTTGCTATTAAAGTTTCGAATAGAACCAATAAACTGTCTAATGCGGCTCCTTGCACAAGAGTCGATTGTACAAGTTGGAAAATGGAAGGTAATATATCTTTGTATACAGCTCCAAGTGATTGCGGGTTAGTACGCAAGACAGATACTACGGTATTTAGAGCTAATGGTAATAGATGAAGATCTTGGTCTGAAATATGAGGTGTCAATTCTTCAAGTACGCGAGAATAACTTGCAGGACCCAAGAAATTACCATATCTATATCATATAAACAAAAAATATTAGGTACAGAATATTATAGGTAATAAATATTATTGACATACCTTCGAACGAAAACCTCCAAACATACTAAACTAGCAACCTTTAATTGACGATGACTCTTCCTAAGTAAAACTGCAACTTCATTGATAGCTCCAATTACGGCTTGTTTTACTTCTTCACTGGCACAAACTGTACTATCAGCAATACTTGTAAAGGTTTTTACAGTCGTTAAACGCGTAACTTCATTTCTCAGGCGATCCAAGAGCATTGGCATGCAAACTTTGAGTTCTTCTTTTAAATTATCACCACATTGAGATATAAGTACACCCAAACACATAATAGAACGTTCCTTAACTTCTTGGTCAGCATCGGTTGTTGAGAGACGTGCAATGGTGACGTTATAAATGTCCAAAATATATGATCTGAAAGAAGGATTCAATGTCTGAACGTTATATGTCTTAGTTTGTACATTATACTCGATAGGGCGAATAACTTTAACTAATTCGATGCAGACTAAGAAAGCTTCAGATGTAATCTTATAAAATTTATCCTCGACAGAGGAAATTATAGGTCGACATAATCTATCAAGATAATTATGGAAGACTTGTGGGGGATGAACTTTAAATAATTGTCGGAGAAAACTCAAAGTTTCAATCTTTAGATTAGAATTTGTGCTAGAATGATGATGCGAAACATCTGATGAGGTGGATAAAGAATTTTCGATGGCTGGAATGAAGGTATTGAGATGATTATCAAGACCTCCATTTAATACTGTAACCAATTCTCTTAGAAGAACAAATCCAGTTTGTTTTGTGACAATGGATTTTGATAACAACTGCTTTGAAAGGTTTCGGCTAAGTTTAGCTACTAAATTTCGAAGCATTTGTTTGGGGCTGTTTATATAAAATATAATGGAATTAAGAAGAGATTTTAAATACATCAGAATACATGTATTAAAATAAATTATACCTTTCTTGAGACTCACTAGGACCAATTGCTCTTCTGCGTTTAGGCTCATGATCATTTTCTCTTGTTACGTAACTTTCACCACCATACACCAACGTTTGTCTAAGCAACACAATGAACGTTTGGAGAACATCAACGCGTACAGATTCTTCCCTTTCTTTAAATCGATTTACCAAAGCTGGGGCAACGCTTTGATATAATTGAGAAAGAAGTTCGTGTCGTGTGCCAACAATGGCTGCAAGTACTTTTGAAGAGGAACGACGCACTTTCCATGAGATATCATCGTCATCAGAATAATCCCTGTGAATTTGAAATTCACACAATTAATTCAATATTAAGCGCGCCATTAAAATAACGCGTATGAATAATAAACACACCCTTCATCATCATCTTCTTCCTCTTCATCTTCTGTTACCATCTCTTCATCTTCATCCATTTCTTCATTCTCATCATCCAAATCATTATTATAATTAGGGTCATATTTCAAATAAACTAAGCAAAGATCAATAATCGTATTAATATTGGGTGTGATCTCAGTGGGACAACGTAACACGAATGATTCTAACGCCTAAAAAAAAATATTTTTTGAGTTAATTATCTCTTTAAAAACGTATGTTTTATTGGTCTTACATAAAATGAAATGTATTACAACTAACTTGCAGGCAATTTTCACGTAATTCATCATCATCGCAAGCATCGACATTTTTAATTACTAATGGTAAGAATTGAGGTAGGTGTTTTCCTAATCTTGGTGCACTTGATCGACTAAAATAATAATAATAATAATAATAATAATAATAAGAACGCGTAAAAAATCAACAAATTTTTTTGAACCTAACAAAAAAGGATTTTGTCTAAATCACGTGCCTTAATGTCCCTACGCATTGAACTAATGTTTTCAATTTATCATTTTGTTCGCCAGCTCTGCCGAATTCCACCAGTAATTGTTGTACTAATTCATTAAATAAGTCGTCAGGAGTATGTGTCACGAGATTACCTAAATGCAATGTAAATTAGTAAACAATGTATAGTGAGAAAGTATTAATAAGGGTATAAGGTGTACCAAGAGCAACAGTAGTTCTCTTTCTAAAGGCCGGTCTCGAATGACCCAAAAGTGGTACTAAAACATTTTGGATTCTCTTTTGAACTTGTGGGTTATTAGCTACGGAATGTCCAAAACGGGCGAGGAGTTCGCTTAAAATATCAAGGGTATCCATTTTTACTTCGTATGTAGCATTTGTCTGTTTCAAAATATTTGATTAAGGTTATATGCTTCGTAAAGGTAAATAAGTAATGATTATTTAAATAACTAACATCTTCAAGCTGTGCAAGAAGTCTTGGAATTAATCGTAGCATCACATTACTAGCACTAGGATTACTTGGTATTTCAACAATGACGGTTTTCAAGCCTTGCAATTAAAATTGAATAAACAAATTAGTATCACATGTGTGAATAGAACTTAGCATAAAATTAATAATACCAATGCCAGCAATATCCCGTAATTCTTCTTTTCCTGGTTGTGTTGTGTAGCTGCAAAGTTGATCAACGATTTCTTGCAGCTGTGGCTCACGAACTTTTTTGACAAGTGGAGCGAGGCTAAAATAAAATTTCACGACAGATCATTAGAATAACGAACGTGCATCACTTTAATTTAATTAATTTAGTTATTTATTACCATTTAACTGCCAAATTCTGCACTTCTCCATTAGCATCATCCATTAATTTTATTACTTTTTGAACCACTCTTTTTTCAGTAGATTCCTCCAAAGTAAACCCATCCTTCTGAAGCTCATTCATTAAATCATTGGTGGCCATGTACCGAAAATCGGTATCGCTAGAGTCCATCTATTAATAAATCCACGATTTTTATTTAATTTTAGATAAATCAAATACATTATAGCTATTTTTCAATAAAATCATATAATGAATGATACCTTCTCTAGCAATCCGACCACCAAATATGAATTGCTGCTCATTTTCGTTATTTCTAAAGCTAACAAATGATTTTAAGTATTTAATGATGTGTGTATATATATATATATCGGTAATATGGGGATCACGTTTTAAAGACGTATATTTTGAAAAAAAACCCCTATAACCTAGTAATGCCAGACGTGTTTTTATTTTAAATAAAGCTACTAATAATTTCAAAAAAGGGTCAAGTATGACAGAATTGTTTAAATTTTCGCAGTTATTAAGCTTTCAGACAACGCAAACTCGCAAGTTACAAGCGAACGAGCATAAAAAACTATTTTAAATGCAAAGTTCGTTTACTGAAAAACATTAGTTAACACAACTTACATAAAAGCTAAGTAGTAAAAACTATGTTGTGAGAGTAAGATCTTGTTAAGAGAGTGTTGTAGTAGAAAACTTTTCGGTTTTGAACCACCGTACTCGCGATAGTTCTTTGAAGTTCAATAATCAGATTTTTTATTGGAAGATGATAATCCAATGAAAATCATTTGTTAATCCGTAAAATTTTGTTTATCACGTAATTATTTATGACTGTAGATTTATTAGGTTATATTAATAAAAAACCTAAAATTCTTATAAGAATATTTTCAGAATTAGAAATTTTATTTACTTACAAAATAACCAAGAAACCTTTTATCTATATTAGTTAAAATAAGAAAAAAATATTAGAATTTATATTTATAATATTTTTTTTTCTTTTTTTTTTAAAAACTCAGATAAAAATTATATTAAAATCATAATAAGAAATATAATAAAATCCTTTTAATATAATGAAAACTAAACTGAAACTACATTAAAAATATAATAATAAATATAATAAAATTATACAAAGCCATGAGTTACACAAAGATGATCTACATTACACAATAAAAAATACTTCTCACGTGACTAAACTCAATAATAAAGGAAATGTTTTCGCTTCACTCCTAGTCTTTGCTATGCCAGGAGAAAATAGAATAGAAAAATTAAATTTCATTTCCTCCCTTTTTTCCCAAAAACCCGGTTTTGT